GGGAGGGAAGAAAGCGAGGGAGGTGGGAGGGAAGGAAGGGAAGAGAACAAAATGAAAAAGGAAGGAAAGGAAAAAGGGAGGCAGGCAGGAGGTGATAGGAAAAAAAGGAAGGAAGGAAAAGGGAAGGAAGGAAGGGAAGAAAGTGAGGGAGGTGGGAAAGAAGGAAGGAAGGAAAAAGGCAGGCAGGAAGGGATAGAAAAAAGAGGGAAGGAAAAGAAGGGGAAGGGGAACAATCCCTTCCAGTAATGTGTTTGCTTAACAATCACTGCATTCACTTAACGACAGTTGCGAAAGTCATAAAATCAGGTCAGTTGCCCTAACGGTGAGGCTCTTTACGGTTATAATGTGAGCACCGCCTGCATTTTCTGGAATAAACTCTGCTCGTTTCCCTTCTGTCTCTCTCTGTTGTAACTCCTCTTACAACCTAGGCGTGAGAAACAGCCCACGTCCGTCGGTGCGGATGGGAACGACGGGGATGTCAGCGCCGGGCCAGGAGCAGCAGCGGAAGAAGAAGAGGTGAGCTCCGGGGTGTTGGATCCAACAGCAGCACCAAATCGTGGCCGTGAGACAGGTGGATCCAAACTCTGCGTTGGGAGTTTTCCTGCGCCACAGGAACTCTCGTTTCCTCCCGTTGTGGGTTGGATTGAAATCAGGGGTCTCCAACCTCGGCAGCTTCAACTCCCAGGATTCCCCAGCCAGCCAAGGTTGGAGACCCCTGATTTCAACCCCCTAGTAAATTGATTTCAATCAATTTAAATCCTAATTTTTAAGGAGCAACTGTCATCGTTCTCTTCTGACCCGCTGTTGACTCACCGACCATCCCACTCACTTTAATGGGACGGCTGGTGATGTGGCAGGGACACCAACAAGGTGAGGGATATGACGGGCAGCAGGTGAGTGGATGCCCGCTAGCAGGCTCAGCCATGATGGATCTGAAATGACAGGCGCTCTTTAATATTACATGTATAAGCTGCGTAGAAGGTTCCACTTTCATTTTTACCGCTTGCCCTTCTTCCTCGCACTTAGAGGCATGGCACAGATGCATTTCTCTTCCAAACAATCGTACGCTTTGTAGTGTACATAGATTTGCAAAACAACAGAGTAAAGAACTATTCCTGAACTTTGTTTTATGATTTCTCATCTCACGGTTGCTGTGAAATTGTGTGAATGCGTCAGTGCGGGGCATGTTATCTCAGTTTGCAGAGCTTGGGTTCGCTGAAACGAACTTACTAAAAATGTAAATATTGCAGAACGTATGCAGCCTTGTGCTACGTAATTAAGCTCCATTCCATGCTGAATAAACTAAATTTATTAATGTATCTTCAATAGAAAACTATCTTTAGAGATATCTTTTTTTTTACTCCAAAAGCATTTTATTAAAATAAATTTGATTAAAAAAATTTAAAAAATCAAATTTAAATAAAATATCTGATTTTTTATTTAAAATAAAACAACCCTTGATTTTTATCCACTCTGGCTATTAGCCAACTGAAGCCTCCCTTCTCTGTGCAGAAAAAGCTGTATGTCAATTTATGCCTCCCATGGGCTTGAGGTCTGTCATCGGTTGCTTGGCCGCACGTTATAGGCTTCGTTAATGTCTCGCTAGATCTTATCTTTTAGGCTGGTATTAACCACCCTATTGTAACATCGGGACTGAGTCAATACGGCATGCTTGCCTCTCCCGCTTTTAACTGTATTGCTTAAATTATTAAAAGGGGCTAGTAGTTTTAAAATAAGATTTGTATTACCAGTCTGTATCTCAAGTGTGGTGTGGTGGCCTAGAGGTGGAGCTCTCGCCTCACAATCAGGAGGCTGTGAGTTCAATCCTAGGTAGAGGCAGATATGAGATGAGAATTTAACTCTCAGGCATGATATTCTTCCGATTAAAATCGGAATTCCGATTTTTGGGGGAATCGCCCCCTCCTTTCCCCCCACCCCTTCTTCTCCTCCTTCCCCTCCCCTCGGAGGCCCCGAGTCAGGAGTTGCTGGCGCGGCTCCGCGCGGCTCCAGTCCCGCGTTGCCTCAGGAAGGGAAAGGCAAAAAGGAAGAGCCGCGGCGGCGCTTTGCAACGGCAGCAGCGGCTCCTGGTTTTGCCTTTCCCTTCCCGAGGCAACGCGGGACTGGAGCCGCGTGGAGCTGCGCCGGCGGTAGCAACTCCTGACAGCCCCAGCCGGATACCTGAGCGGAGCCCGGGCGGTGCGAGCGGAGGCCGCTGAGCGGCAGGAAAAGGGAGCTGGGCCAGCCACAGACCAGCCTCCGTGCAACACGCCACCGCCCGGCCCTGGCGAGGGAAAGCAGCGGGCGCTCCCCGGGCGCGCGGCGGGGGGTCTCTTTTGGCCGGCCCCGATTTTTTTTTCAGAGCGGAATATCATGCTTGAACTCTGCACTGGTGACAGGGAAGGGCATCCGGCCAGTAAAACACTGCTAGCTCCGTTGAGTTGCCCAGACTCCGCCCCGCAAGGGATTATGGGGTAGTTAAAAGATGATGATTACCTGAATTGTATCTGAACTGTAAACGAAAGGCAAATGAAGGAGCGTGTGGTCATTTCCCATGACCCGTCTGTCCTTGGGTCAGTTTTCCAAAGCAGGAGTAGAAGGCCCTTTCTGGCCCAAACGGCCCTTTTGGCTTCTTTTCTGATGCAGCCTCTCTTTCTCTACGTAGTTCCTCTCCTTGGACGACATCCAGCAGGCCAGCAGAGCCAACATGGACCTGAGAGACGACCAACAACAGAACGTTAGTGGCTCCACAGCTCCCTTTTGTTAGCTTCTGGATGAGGGCGGGGTGCATAAGGAAGCCTTGCGCAGTTTTTGTCTGCTCCCAGGACTACACACACACACACACACCTTGGTGGGTTAACAGGTACTCCATGACGTACAACCATTTTCTTAGTGACCGTTTGAAGTTAGAACGGCACGGAAAAGAAGTGACTTATGACCGTTTTTCACACTTATGACCATTGCAGCATCCCCATGGTCAGGGTTTGCGGCCTGCCGGCGGCTGACGGAGCTGGCAGCAGAGTTGGACAGTAAGGAGGTTGGGGAATGAATATATACGTAAAGATCAAAATGGATTTCTTCCTAATAGACAAACTACGAACAATTTAAGAATAGTATGAAATGTTTTGGGATACTACGAAGCCCATCCGGAAAAACAAATAGCCCTTGTATTCTTGGACGCACAGAAGGCCTTTGACAATCTAAACTGGCAATTCCTAATTCAACAAATTTATAATATGAATCTAGGCACTAAATTTGAAAACATCGTGACTACAATTTATGATTCACAAAAGGCGAATATTATAATTAATGGAGAGTACACGCGCTCAATAAAAATAGAGAAAGGAGTCAAGCAGGGATGTCCATTATCCCCCTTGCTCTTCGTATTATCTTTGGAAACATTACTTACACGAATTAGACAGAACCCAGGAATAAAAGGACTAAAAATTAAAAAAGAAGAATATAAAGTCCTCTGGTCATCTACGGCCACCGTTGAATCCAAAATTTATGCTGCTAAGCAAGGCAGTTAAGTTGAGCTTTGCCCCGTTTTCCGACCTTTCCTGCCACCGTTGTTAAGTGAATCGCCACAACGGTTAAGTTAGTCACAGGGTTCTTAAGTGAATCTGGCTTCTCCATAGAGTTTGCTTGCCTGAAGATCGCCAAAGGGGATTGCGTAACCCCTGGGACTGTCATAAGTCCGTGCCAGTTGCCAAGCATCTGAAATTTTTTGTTTTAATATATATTTTTTATTGTTTACAACTGCAAATATACGATGGTGCTGCCGTTTGGGCGTTACATATACCACACATACAAAGATATTGCTAAACCATTAACTTTCATATTATTGACACAGTATTTGCTTTTTGGTTCTATTCGTTCTGTCTTTTTTCCCCCTGACCTTCCCTTTTTTGTAGCCCCTGATTAAACTTATTCCATGTTTCATAGTAAGCCAATTTCCCCCTTATTTTTCAACTCTAAGGTTGACCTATCCGATTCTGCCCAAGCCATTATTTTCTTTATTCTTTCTGGTGGTGCGGTTTCATTTTTCCAACATTGCACGTATATCATTCTCACCGCTGTCAAAACATGTATAATTAAATATGCTATGTCATGTCCCTGTCGGAATGTGATTCCAAGGGGGAGGCCGAGCAGCTGACGGAGTGAGAGTGGGGCTCCATTGGCTGTGGAAGAAACTGGGGAAGAGCAAAGTCCGACTGGGCAGAGCAAGGGAGAGGTAGAACAAGGGAGAGGGAGTTCAGAAGAAGACCCAGGCCCACCCCTTCTTCATCCTAGGGCACGCAGAGAGGAACAGAGAAGGGAGCAACGTGAGTTGCATGGCTTACGGGGGAGGAAAGGGCCCTGATTCCCTTCATTAGCTGCAGCTGGGAACACAGTGTTTAAAAAGGGAAGCTATGCACAGCAAAGTTGCTGGAAGCAAATTGTGAGTTATCTGTTACTGTCGAGGCTTATCTGGGTTCCTGGCGTCTTCCCAACTGTGTGTGTTTTGCTGGCCTTTCAAGTCTGCAATTCCTTCTGCCCTGTCCAGTTAATTGCTACAGCGTGGTTTGTTTGGATTTTAAGTTACAGTTTGTGTGTCCCTTGTTTTGGACTGAATTTTCTACAGCCAAAGGCTGTTCCTGCTGCAGCTGCTCTTTCCTTCGAGCAGCCCTATGCACACTGTGCACAGGCTCCTCGGGGGCCTCTTCCTCACTGCTGCCAGCCTCCACAACCTCCAAAGGCAGGACTCTTCTCCCTGATGGTCCTGGTCCCATCCCTGCATCACACGCAGGCCCCTCATCCGAGTCCTCGCTCTCCGAGACCTCAGCCGTCCGCACCCGCTGCCGGCGAACCACAACAATGAATAATGTGTCTCAGAGTCGGCTATACCCAGGCAGTGCTGGCATGTTAACTCCCCAATAAATCCTTTTGAAGTTTTTGGAAGTTTGGCTCGAGACTCAGGATTTAAATGGGGGGTCACTGCCAGAATCCTGACGCTCTGCTTCCTTCTTAGACGGTGGCTGTTGTGCCCTTGACCCCAATGGCTCTGGTTCCTCCCGAAGAGTTGGACAAGAAAGACAACCCCCTCTTTAGGTAAGAGGCTCCCGCGGGGTCCTCCAGGGGCGTTGGGGGGGAGGCCCCCCGTTCTCCAGCCCCCGGGGCATGAGGGGCGGCATCCCCTGGCCTTCTCGCCAGCTGATCTGGGCTCGTTTCCTTGCAGCCGGAAGGGAGAGCTGCTGGCCAGCCGGAAGGACTTCCGTATGAACACCTGCACCCCCCACCACAGCGGGCTCTTCATGCTGGAGCTGGCAGGCCTCTCGCCCACCCAGTGCCACGCAGGCAGGGACGGCGGTTGGGGCCGCGACCACCCCACCGGTACAGCCGGGGTCACCCCTGTGCATCCCAAAGGGGGAGCCCCCCTTTTAAAATTCCACTCGTTTCTTCCACTTGGATGCCTCTTAGCTTCTTCTTTCAATTTATTCTATTTTATTTTTAGTTTTAATGTTTGTTGTTGTTTCGGCTTAGTTTAGCTTTGATTTCATTCTAGTGTGAGTTTTGTCTGATTTTACTTGGATTTGATCTTTTTAATTATTCATTTCGTTTTACTTGGATTTTATCTTTTTAATTATTCATTTCGTTTTACTTGGATTTTACCTTTTCATTATTCACCGTTAAGTTGTATTTGTTTTTAAATTTAATTTTGTTTTACTTTGTTTTAAATTTTACTTTGGTTTTGTTTTGAATTTTATTTTAGTTATTTCATTTGGTTGAGTTTAATTCAGCTTTTGATTTTGGTGAGCCTTGACTTAAATCATTTTTATTGCATAGTTTTATGTTTAATTTTAATTTTATTTTTTAAATTTATGTAACTTTTTAATTTCATTCAACTTCAGCATTTTAGCTTTAATTCTAACTGTACTTGATTTTATTTTTTTTATTTTTGTGATTATTTTTAGTTTTATTTTTTTCTCTTTTTTCTTTTTTTCTTTTACTATTATTTTAAGCATGTGGTTTGTCAAGAACCAGGTAGACATCTAAGAAAAGCAGCAAACGCAGCTCCTGCTAGCTTCCTGCTCTCCTATAATGCATCTCCCTGCCTGCAAAAGATTTGCCCACCCGTAAAGAAAATTGGATCAGGGTGCCCTGTAGAACCGGCTGATTAGCGGTAGAGTTGTGTTAGGTGTGCTCACGCCCTCTCTTTGCTTCTGCGCAGGGACCCAGAGCCTGGTTCCAACAGCTGGCTCCGTACCCATGGAGGTCAGCGCGTGCGAGACCCCAGTTCTTGCTCTGGACTTCTCCGGAGAAGGAAGTGAGTCACAAAGACCCAATGAATTGAGGGGTAGGAAAAATGAATGTCCAAGAAAGTGGAGCGAGCTAAGGAGAGGCCCCGATGACCAAATCCCAGCTGGGAAATGGGATGCCGGCTCAAATCGCGTAGCTTAAGCTCACCGTCTTGGGAGCCTTTAATAGGTGGTCTTTTGGTTTAGCAGACCCTGTAGGTGGTTTATGAGAATTTAGAGCCAGCTGGGGGCCTCTACAGGTTGATGCATTGGATAGAGGAGGGATTTCTTATCAGTTAAATCAGGGGTCCCCAAACTAGGCCGCTTTTAAGACTCGTGGACTTCAACTTCCAGAATTGGAGAATTGGCTGGAGAATTCTGGGAGTTGAAGTCCGCAAGTCTTAAAAGTTGTCAAGTTTGGAGACCTCTGAGTTAGATAGAAGAGAGAATCTTTGAAGGTCAGGATTGAACTATAGGATCCTTGGTGCTCTCTGAGCTGGGTGGTTTTCTTGCAGACGTCTCATGACCCAACTAGGGAACATCATCAGTGCTAGAAGGGAATGGGGAGTGGGGTTTGTGGAGAGGAAGAAGGAAGAGACAGGAAGGAAGGAAGGACTGACTGACTGTGGGGTCCTTGGTGCTTTCTGAGCTTGGACATTTCATGACCGAACTAGGGAACATCATCAGTTCTGGAAGGGGGTGATGTTTGCAGAGGTGGGGGAGGAGGAGGAGGAGGACTGCAAAGTCCTTGGTGCTCTCTGAGCTTGGCTTTCTTGCAGACATTTCATGACCCAACTAGGGAACATCATCAATGCTATAAGGGGCTTAGATGTCATCCAGGTCATGATTGCCCGAAAGGTGATTTTTTAAGGAGGCAATTGGACTTTCCGATTTTTCTTTGAAGACATTTCACTTCTCCCCCCAAAAGCTTCTTCAGCTCTGACTGGATGGTGGGGGAAAGGAAGGATTGATATTCCTGGCAGACAGCGGGTCATTTTTTTTTTCCTTTTAGAGGGCCGTTGAGGCCACTTGGAGGTTGAACAACCCTCCCTCTACCTCCAATCTACAACGCAGTCCTTTCAGCAGCTCCAAGAAGGCTCCACACCCATTTGTACCACTCAGGTGTGATCCTGAGGACACAGACAAACCCCCCTCCCTCAACTACTGGAAGGCTGCTCTCCTGTCTCCCCTGGTCCTTCTCTTCCCTAGACTAGCCAGGCCCAGTTCCTGCGACCGTTCTTCATAATGTTTTAGCCTCCAGTCTCCTCATCATCCTGGTTGCTCTTCTCTGTACTTTTTCTAGAGCCTCAACACCTTTTTTATCGTGTGGGGACCAAAACTGGATGTGGTATTTCTAAGTGTGGCTTTACTAAGGCTCTATAGAGTGGTAACAGTCCCTCTAATTAGTCCCTCTAATAGCAGGAGCAGCGAACCCCGCGGATGACCATGAAGAGGGCGGTGAGGACCTCCTGGCAGACATCCTGGAGGAGGGCCCCTCCAACGGAGCAGAGGAGCACACGGCACACCAGACGGTACTCGGAGGCAGGAGGGCGGCCCACAAGGGAAGGACAGAGGGGGCTCTGGGTACGATCCGGAGATGAGACCCACCCCCACTTTCTCTGTTCCTAGAGCGCCCCCCGGAGCAAAGGCTACGCCTTGCGGGAGAGATTCCCTGCCCTGGAGGCTAATCCCCAACACCAGGTAAGGAGCACCCCATGTTTTGCCAGGGGCCCTTTTGGCAGAGGCAGCCCTCGACCGTTAACGGCTGCAAGGGAGCCCCGCCTCTTCGTTGCTAAGCGGAGACATTTGTGAAGCGAGTCCTGCCCCGTTTTGCGTCCTTTCGTGCCATGGTGGTGAAGAGCTGTCCTGCAGTCGTTAAGTGAGTCACACGGTTGTTGAGGGAATCGGGCTGTCAGAAAAGCTCGCCCAAGAGGGGAGGATTGCGTGACTCTCCCAGGATGCTGCCAGCCGTCGTCAGTGCGAAGTCGGTTGCCTAGTATGTGAACGTTGAATTTGGCTCACGTGACCACGGGGAACCACGCAACGGTCGTAAGTGTGAAAAATGGGCCATAAGTCCCTTTTTCAGGGCCGTTGTAACTCTGAACGGTCATTAAAACAAACCTTATCTTCGCCTGGTAGTTTGTAGCGAAAGGTCCCTCAGCGGCTGTGAGCCCTGAAGTTTAGCTGCTCCCCTCTGTCGTGGAGAAGCTTCCAGGTGTGAGGATGTGCCAGGCCGAGCCACGTCTCTGCCTGATCTGAATCAGAATAGAGCTGGAAGGGACCTTTGAGGTCTTCTAGTCCAGCCCCCTGCTCAAGCAGGAGACCCTATATACCATGATGGAGGATGTCAGAGCGTTTGCAGTATGACTACTATTATAAGACAACCCAGGAGCAAAACACAACACACAGAGACTTAGACATTTAACAATGGCTTATATGCAACAGTTAGATACAGTAATATACGTGGTAGGCAAATACCTGACAAGCAATCAATCTTCTTAACTCTACACAGAGAACTCTGCAATGGATACTGGACACAAGGAGAGAAAAAACACACCCTCTAATGGCTGCCTTATATAAACACCTCTTAAAGGGGTAAAACTTCTGTGGGCTCACTCTTAGACTTAAAGAGGCAATACCAATGCTGATTCCTCTTACGTTGCATCAGCTTTACAACTGGTCAGCTCCTAAATCTCAATACCTTAACAGAGAACCCACCACTTCTGGTGGCAAGCTATCCACTGGTTAATTGTCCTCACTGTTAGGAAGTTTCTCCTGAGTTCCAGGTTGTGTGTGTGTGTACATACATTTTTCTTTAGAATACATAAAAACACTATCTGCACGAATGGTGTGTTGTCTGGGTACAATTAATTTTGAAACATAATAGCAATAATAATATTCAAAGCATTGATAATAATCACCTAGTGATGATAATACTTGCTTATCCATACCAATAAACCTTCATTGTATAGTTAATCATTCTCTTAAACTTTTGAGTCTCTAACTTCTGTTTCTATTAACTAACCAAACAAATACCATGTTAAAAATATTCTGCTTCTTCCTTCTCCTTTATTTTGAGTGTTAATCTACCCACCTCTGTGTATTCATATATATTTATATTTATTTATTACTGTGGGGATCTCTTCCTTTTCCCACCGTTGTCAAGTTGCTTCTCTACTTGATGAGTTTCCATCTGTTATTTCTTGGCCTGCCTTCAGGTGCTTTGGAGCAGGGGGTCTCCAACCTTGGCGACTGAACGACTTGTGGACTTCAACTCCCAGAATTCCTCAAACAGCTTTGTTTTGCTGGCTGAAGAATTCTGGGAGTTGAAGGCCACAAGTCATAAAGTTGCCAAGGTTGAAGACCTCTGCTTTGGAGAACAATTTGGCCCCCTCTTCTTTGGGGCAGCCCCTCAAATATTGGAAGATTGCTATCATGCCCACCCCCTGGTCCACCTCTTCACTAGGCTGGCTGGCTTTTGTGGTGCTGAGGCCCAGTTCTGAAGCCCCCAGGTGACCACCTGAGACCCACCCGCTGCTTCTCCTTCTCTTCCAGGACACGTGGGACCCCTGGCAAGGCCTCGACCCCTTCAGCTCCTCGGAAAACAAACCCTTTAAGAAAGGTACGGATCCTCCAGGCCTATAGGGGGAGGAGGGGGGGTCTTGAACCCGGCACCTTCAGCCCTAGAAGCCTCTCTAGGAGCGGACCAGGGTTGTCTTCGGGAAGCAGTCAGAAAGTCATGTCATGCTGGCTCCATCTTGACCGTTGGACCACATTCTGTGGACAACACCTGGCGTGTGGGCCACACCTCCCATGCCTGGTGAAAGTTATGGGGGTTGTAGTCCCAAGAAGTCTAAGGCAGGTTAGGTTATGAGTCTTTATCCCGATCTTCTTGAGAACTTCGTGAGCCGATAGGGCCAGGTGGGCGGCCAGCTTCCTTGGCCTCGAAAGGAAACCTTCCTGCAGCCTCTGCCCCGAAGAGAGGAGGGTCTCCAGTTCTCCCGTTAGGTTTTTGCACGGCAGAAACTTCAGTCACCTGGTGACAATCTTGGAAAAACTATGCATGGAATTGCGCTTTTGGTTTCCAAGCTGCCGCGCTGCTCTTTCAAACCCCTTTCCCCCCCCCCTCCCTTTCTGTTGGCCACTCTAAAACGGCCATTAAAAAACGTTTCATGAGTTGATAGCAGGAGCATCGGGGGCTCCCACCCGCTCTTCTCCCCCACCCCCCTTCAGGAAGACCCTTCACCCTGCCCCGCGGCCTGGAAGATTCGTCCGGCGGCAAACGCAAGAGACGGCCCTCCGCGCTGCAGGATTTTGTGTCGTGGTTTTCGTCCTCCGGTGAGTGCCCTCAGCTTGGGCCCAGGTTGCCCACTAGCTCAAGGTGGGTGGGGGGCTCAGGGGCAGATCTTTCTTTTCCCCTGTCCATCCTTTCTAAAAAAAACCAAAAAAAACAACCAGTGGAGGTTTTTGGAAAGAGCGTCCAGTTTTGGGGCCAAACCATAATAAGCCACGGGGTTGCGGGGCACTACAAACGGCTGCAAATGCTGTGTTGTTGAGCATTTGAAGTGGGGTCACCTGAGGCCAGGGTAGAGGGTGACCATCAGAACGGGGGTGTATCCCTTCCCCCCCCCCTTTTTTTTTTGCAGTTATGTCACCCCTTTGGTCATTGTGATAATCACAAAAACAACCAAAGACAGTGAAGAAGAATTTTATTATTAAGCTTTTGCAAAAGGGAATTCTGCTCATGGGCAGAGGACATGTTTCCCAGGAAGGCTGGGGTTTATATACAAGGTTCAATATACATTCTCTGCCCCTTTCCTGGGTTCACAATTTATCCAAGCTACGTATCTCCCTACGCAACACCCATATTATTGTTACGCAACACCCATATTATTGTTACGCAACGCTCATATTATTGTTACGCAACGCTCATATTATTGTTGCGTAACACCTGTTTCCTTGTTCTTGGAAACCACCCTTGTTCTCATGGCTTCTTCTTCCTGTTATGGTCCTGTTATGACCATCTGTAATACAATAGGTCATTAACCAGTTCCTTTCGGGTCGTAATAACCTAGCATCTCCTTCTCATATCCTTATGCCAAAAAATACAGACTTGCCATTAGTTTAGAACATAACAAGTTACAAAACAGTACATGTTTATTAGATATAGTTATATGACTGTCCAATAATCATTTCATAGTTTCAAATATTGGATAAACATGGCATCTCTTCTGTCCTTCATTTTCTCGGGTGTAACTCACAATATATATAATTGCCACATATAACAATGATCATTAAGCAATCAGTCATAAGTTAAGAACTAGCTGTACACAAAATGGTTAACAGGGATTTGAAGATGAGTGTAATGTTTAGTTTAATCTGTTGACTGCTTTTTCTTCCTTTTTTTAAATATGTGTGTGTGTGTGTATTTGTGTGTCTGTGTGTCTGTGTGTATGCATATATGTAAGTATGTAAAAGGAGATTTTTTTCCCCTTTTTTCAGCTTCCAGCCAGGCTGGATTCTATATGTTAAATTGTGTGTGTGTGTGTGTGTGTATACGTATGTATGTACATATTGTATGTATATAAAAGAGGAGGAGAATTCATTCTTTTTTCCTTGGTTCAGCTCCCAGCCAGGCTGGATGCTATACGTTAAATCAGGGGCACTTCAAACTTGACAGCTTTAAGGCTTGTGGACTTCAACTCCCAGAATTCCTCCTCCTCCTCCAGTCACGTTAGCTCAGGAATTCTGGGAGTTGGAAGTCCACAAGCCTTAAAGCGGCCAAGCTTGAAGAGCCCTTGCATGAAATGTTAAATTGATTGGGTGTTTGTGAGAGTTTGCAGCAGAAATTCAAGTCCAGGAAAGCTCACACAGATGACTTGATTCAGCAGTCATCGATAATTTCTTTATACGCATAATAACAATTTGAAGTCAGGTTTACAATAATACCATTGGTGGTTTCTTCCAATGTGGCATAAGCCAAAATACAAGCAGCAGCCTCTCAGTTGCTGTGTGTGTCCCCCCCCCCCCCCCAAAAACCCTGTGCCCCCCCCCCCTCCCACCTTTCAGAGGCTCCTTGCTTGCTTTCCAGAGCCCACCCAACCCGGCAGCCAGAGAAGCCGCAGGAAAGACCCCATGTTCCCTGGTGAGTAGGTGTGACTTGTGGGGAAAGGAAAACACACACATACACACCCTGCATTGGCTTTGTGTGGGGTTGGGGAAGCAGCAGGGAGGAGGCCACTGGTTCCTGCAGGGTTTGCCCAGAAGCAGAGGCACTGGCTGATTGGGGGGGGGGGGGGGGAGAGTGAGCGGGGGGCGGGGAGGGGCCTGGTTCTTAGCCCCCCGCCCCCCCCGATGCTGGCATCACTGGTGCCTTGAGGGCATTCCTGGTGCCAGCTGGTGGGCCCCAACAATATGGTACCTTTACAGGGTTTTATTAGAATGTTATAAACCACGCAGAGTCACTTAGGTATGGCGGGCGGTGTAGAAGATTGAATTAAGTCTTTCATTTGTGAGCAGACCTGGAGATTCTGTATTGGAAGAACGCCAAGGAACGTCTGGTGGCCCAGAGGAAATTGCAGAAGAGGATGGTGAGTCTGGAGGCAGAGCGGCTCGCGGAAACAACGGCTGGCATTCTTGACTGGCCCAGAGAAAGTGGGGGGGGGGGCAACGCAACTGAGAGGAACCTTCCTTCCTTCCTTCCTTCCTTCCTTCCTTCCTTCCTTCCTTCCTCAATCTCATTCCTTCCCTCTCCTTCCTTCCTTCCTTCCTTCCTTCCTTCCTTCCTTCTCTCTGGCTTAGGTTCTCGGGTTTTCTTCCAACAGTAAGGGCCTTCCCAGTTGGATGATGTTCCCTAGTTGGGTCATGAAACGTCTGCAAGGAAACCACCAAGCTCAGAGAGCACCAGGGACCAATTAAGCCCTGAGCTACAAATCTATTGATTCTTTATATGATGTGATGCTAAAGTGGGCCTCTTTTTAAATACAGCAGCCCCCTTCTCGCGGGGGGTTTCGTTTCCACCTGGCTGTGGCCTGGAGACCTGATAAGTCAGGGGGGTCTTCAAACTTGGCAGGTTTAAGACTTGTGGACTTCAACTCCCAGAATTCTTCCTCCAGTCATGTTAGCTCAGGAATTCTGGGAGTTGGAAGTCCACAAGTCTTAAACCTGCCAAGTTTGAAGACTAAGGCCTAGTGCTAAGTGAGAAGGAAGGAGAGGGGGAGCAGGAAGGAAGGAAGATGAAGGGAGGGATGGAGGAAGGAAGGAAGGAAGGAAGGAAGGAAGGAAGGAAGGAAGGAAGGAAAAAGAATAGCAGAATAACAGAGTTGGAAAGGACCTTGGACCATCCATCCATCTGATCCTCTCTCACACATCCATCCATCCTTCCTATCTCTCTCTCTCTCCCTCTATTATGTTGTGTACATATTGATTTTTCTCCCATCTATTATCTATCTGTCATATTGATCTATTTGTCTTTGTCCTATCTAGCTATCTAATCTATCATCTCTCCTCTCATTTATCATTCTCTCTTTAATTCCATCATCTCTCTCTAATCTATCTATCTATCTATCTATCTATCTATCTATCTATCTATCTATCTATCTATCTATCTATGGGGTCTTCAAACTTGGCGACTTTAAGACTTGTGGACTTCAACTCCCAGAATTCCTCCTCCTCCTGTCAGGTCCACAATTTGCAGACCCTTGAGATAGATCGAAGAAAAAATCCCATTCCTGATCTAAGGCCAAAGCAAGATCGGGTTAAGCCTCCTTTTCCCCCCTTAAACCAGGCTCCGCATGTGGGGATGCAGTTCCCAGAGCTTGGCGCCCTGGAGATGGACCGGGAGGAGAAGGAGGAGGAGGAGGAGGAGGACTTGGATGCTGCAGCTGCCGACGATGGAGCAGGTAGGTCTTCCAGACTGAATTTTGATCACATGACTGGGGATGGAAACGTCACTTTTTCCAGTGCTGTTGTAACGCTGACCGGTCACTAAATGAACGGTTGTAAGTTGAAGACGATACTGGGTCTGGTTTGGCTGGAACGTCTTTTCCTTCCACAGAGGACTTTGTGGCAGATGAGGAGATCCCCCCGTTGGAAGAGGTGCCAGGTGGCGTGGCAGGTAATGGTCGGACGAACTGGCCCCTTCCTGTACCCAGGCATCCATCTACCCATCCAACCATCCATTCACCCATCTTTCCATCTACCCATCCATTCAACCATCCTTCCGTCAATCTATCCCCCTTTCCATCTACCCATCCACTCACCCACCCTTCCATCCAACCATCCATCCATCCATGTTTCCATTCAACCATCCATCCTTCCATGCATCCATCTACCCATCCATCCTTCCATTCAACCATCCATCTTTCCATTCAACCATCTGTTAAGCCTGGATTCCCCAACAGGTGTTAAGGAAAACAAACTAAACAGAATGTGCAGCGAAGTCAGATAGGAAGATAGGTAAATGTGTGAGATAAGTTTTCTAGTTAACACGCAGTAAAAATACAGATACGCTTGTGCTATCAAAATTATAATTTATTCCATTTAAGAATTATAGCATAGTCATTATTAACAGTCCATTAGTCATATACCAAATTCAGTCAAGTCTTGTCGAGGATACTCTATTTGCAAAGTCCGTGTCGAATAGCCAGTGTCAGTACACATATAATAAATCTGTCCAAAACTTATCTTCTCTCCGTTGAGAAATATCTTCAAAGTAATCCAACACTTCTTCTCCTCCCCGATCCAGCAAGAATGCAGTCTTCAATAAGCCAGCCAGTAAGAGCCAGAGAGTGCCTTGCTGCTTATATAGTACTTTTACAGCTGTACCCTTAATTACATTCCTTTAGCTTAAAGTCACATACACTTTATCTGACAAACCATGATTCATCATTTTATTATCTTTACCCAAAACAGTTAGGATAAAACAATGTTATCCCTAACATTCTCCCCTTTTGGGTAATAATAATAAATATTACAATAATATATCCATTTACACTTTCAAATCATAATTGTCACAACTCTCACCTTGTGCCTTTGTAAACTGGTCTGCAATATTTTCTTCTGTCATGCAGTACTCAAGTTTAATTAGACCATTTTTAACAGATTCTCTAACATTTAAGTATCTTAAATCAGTATGCTTTGATCTAGTCTTTACAGCAATATTAGTAGCTAATTGTATAGCTGCCTGGTTGTCCTCGTATACAATAATAGAATCTTTAACAGTTATACCCATGTCTAATAATAACTGTTTGTACAGAATTAAGTCAGTGCATAGTAATGACAGACATGAAAATTCTGCTTCCATCGTTGACAAGCTAATATGCTGTTGCCTGATTGACCTCCACCCTATTAGTGTCTTACCAAATAATATAGCCATCCCAGATGTTGATTTTCTAGTGTTTATGTCAGTTGCAAAACTGGCATCTGCATAGGCACTAAGATTCAAATCACCTTTTGGCTCTAGATACAATGCATGGTGCATTGTTCCTTTAAGATATCTTAAAATTCTCTTTAGTGCTTGCCAATGACATTGATGTGGATCATTATTATATCGTGCCAGCTGATTAACACTATAAGCTATATCTGGCCTAGACCAATTGCTTATATATGATAAGCTACCAGTCAAAGATTGATATATGGTCTTATCAAATTTGGGACTTTGAGCATCAATTTTGCAAATTTCCTGACTCATTGGAGTCTTTGCAGGCTTACAAAGTTCCATTTTATATAATTTAATTAATTGGCAAATTTTATCCTCTTGAGATATCTTAAATCCTTTTGTGGTTTTGTTAATTGTCAATCCTAGATACTTTTTAATTTCACCCAAATGCTTTAATTTTATCATTTTGGCTAATAATGAAATAATCTCAGTAGCTTCATTATTGGTCTTAGTAATCAAAGCAATATCATCTGTAAATAATAACAATAATGACACCATTCCATTATTTTCTCTTTTAAACATACATGGATCTGCTAAACCAGATTTAAACCCTATATTGTTTAATTCTTTCACAATATATTGGTTCCATTCATAGCCAGATTGTTTCAATCCATATAAACTCTTCTTGAGTTTCCAACAATCATTGCTATTTACTTTATTATCATTTATACCAATTGGTTTATTCAAATATATTGTATGCTGCAATGGTGCATGTAGATATGCAGTTTCTACGTCTAAATGGTTAACTATATAATTATTCTTAGCTGCCCACACTAAAGCTGCTCTTAAAGTTGTAGCCTTAAGATTTGGTGCAAATACCTCATCATAATCAAATACATTTTGGTTAAATCCTTGTGCTACTAATCTAGCCTTATAAGTTACTTTCCCATTATTTCCAGTCTTTACTTTAAATATCCATTTGCACCCAATGGATTTTTCTCCTGGAGGTAATTTGGTTTCTTCATAAACCTTCATTTCCTTTAATGAATTTAACTCTTTTTCCATTGCCTTTTGCCAATTCTCCTGGTCCTTAGCAGGATACATCTTAAGTTCATCTATGCTAGTAGGAACTTTATTTACTTGGCAAACAATACTGGCCTGATACCTATCAGGTGGTTTAGTTATACGTGTTGTGCGTCTAGGTATAACTGGACTTACAGATGGACTTTCCTTTATTTCCTGTTCTTGACTATTTATTTCTTCTTGATCAATTATCTCCTCTTGATCTGATTCTATTTGCTCTTCATGGATTTCTTCTTTAATTGAACTTTTCTTATAACTAGTCTTTTCTTTCTGCCTCTTATAGGGTTCTATAATAACATCATTATCTGAATCCTGCTCTAATCTATTCCATCCTATATGTTCTAGGAATTGTGCACTAGCACTGCAGTATACTCTAGATGTACCTGGTTCCCAGAATCTATAAGATCTATGGTTTGCTTGATATCCAACAAAAACTAATCTTTTAGCTCTACGTTGTCCTTTGTGCCTGAGTTGTGTAGGGATATGCACCCATGCTGGTGCACCAAATGTGTGAATGTAACTTAAATCAGGTTTCCTACCATGCCACAGTGTGAATGGTAATTCACCTGTTGTTGAATTAACAACATTGTTTAATATGTGATTCCCACACATTATAGCTTCTCCCTACAAATTGTCAGGTAATCCAGAATCAGATAACATAGTTCTTCCCATTGATTGCAGTGTTTGGCCTCGTCTCTCTATAAATGCATTATGCTGAGGCCTATATGGTTCAGACCTTTTATGTTGAATACCTGCCATTCTAAGTCTATTCTGGAATTTATTATGAGGTTTCTTATTTTCATAAACTCTGTTAGCCAACTCTAAACCATTATCATTTAACACATATAAGTCACCTCTTAACGTTGCAGTAATTTTCTTACCTTCTTTTTCAATTAAACAAGTATCTCCCCTAAAGGTAACTATGTATCCTAATCTAACCAACATTCTAACTGAAAGCAAATTAAATTTAAGTTGAGGTACATATAACATTTTTATGTTCTCATTTATACTAGAACAATGGGCTATACCTTGTCCTTTTGCCTTCATTTTCCATCCGTTTGCCAATGACATATGTTGTGAACTCATAGACATTTTTACAAATTTTTTGTTATCATTTGTAATACAGTGGGACGCACCACTGTCAACCACCCATAAATTATTTTTTACAACTCCATTACTATACATTGCTAACTCATAATTCTTATTTCTTCTTTGATGTCTTCCAGTATTCTGGCTTGCATTCTTGCGCTTTGGTTTCTTACAAAATCTTGCAAAATGTCCTCTCCTCCCACAATTAAAACACTTTTTAATTGCGTATGCAGTAGGAGATTCATTATTTTCCTTTTTTTTTTTTTTTTATAAAAGTTTTATTGATTTTAACAACAAATAAAAACACATAAAACATAAAACATAACATAAGAACATCGTCATTCTTCATAAATTTACAGACAGTGTATCGGTTGGTTTATCACTCCTTTTTGTGCATCTATTTCATAGTCATCATAATAATTATGTTACATAATAACTCATATTATCAATCAACAATTATATATCCTAATATCCTTATTAAACAATCATTTGACTATAATTTAACTAATTCATGCTTAAGCGAGATAACTATAATTTAGTTAATTTATAACAAATCGTAAAATCATACCAAATCTATCTTAATATAATATTCTAAAAATATTATCAAAACCAAAATATATATATATTCTATTATTATATTGTTTTATCTAACCATTGATAAAAAAGATCCCAAACTTCATAGAATTGTTTATCTTCTTGTTCTCTAATTTCAAATGTCAATCTACTCATTTCAGCACATTCCAGTATTTTCTTAATAATTTCTTCCTCTAATGGTATTTTCTCACTCTTCCAATTTCTAGCAAATACAATCCTAGCCGCTGTTAACACATTTACAATCAAATACTTTAAGTTTTTATTAAATGTATCAGGTAAGATTCCCAATAGAAAAATCTCTGGTTTCAAATCTATATGTTTTTTTGTCATTTCTTCCAACCATATGCGAATTCTAGTCCAGTATTTCCTGGCCTCCTCACAAGTCCACCACATATGGTAATATGAGCCAGGGATCTGATGACATTTCCAACACTTTTCGGATTTATTCTTGAACATTCTTGCTATTCTTGTCGGGGGAAAGTGCCACCTGTAAAACATCTTATACAAATTTTCTTTATATGCTACTGACATTGTCATTTTATAATTTTGAGACCACAATTTTTGCCATTTTTCTAAATCAATCCCATATCCAAAGTTCTTCCCCCAAACAATCATTGTTTCTTTGACTTGTTCTTCCTCTAATTTAATTTCCAACAAATAACTATATAGTTTTTTAATCACTTTTTCATCAGCACCTGTCAAAATCCCATCTAAATCAGTCAATTTATCATAAAATCCTTCTGTTTTAGAATCTTTAAGATAACTTGAGTGTATTTGCGCATATGAAAACCAATTCATCTTTATATCTTGTTCTTCTAGCTTTTGCATCGTTTTAAGTTCACCCTTTTCATCCAGTATTTCCCCATATCTAACTGTTTGTTCCTTCTTATAAATTATGGGATAGGAAAAAGCTTCAATAGTTGATAACCAAACCGGAATTTTCAAATAACATTGTTTCTTAATTTTCTCCC